TGTGTGGGCAATCCGCTCCTCTTCAACCCCTGATGCGCGCCGCAGATTGGGATGTTGATTGTTGGGACAATTTGTTCCTGTTGGAGATATGTCAGGCTTAAAGGGAGCCTGTGCGTCTCGATGATTGGCTCTCCCTCTACCCTGCACCCTGTACAGCAGAGCAGGACTGAGTTTGCAGCTCCGTTTCCTCCCCAGAGGCAGTGCGTCAGGGGCTGAAATAGGAGCGCAGCCCACCTCCCGCCCCCACAGTCCCTCAGCTCGCTGCAGATGAGGGAGCAGAGCAGCACCTTAACGCAAATCAATTATTACAGAGAGCTTAAAAACACTCTCTAGATCATAACTTTTAAAAGTAATGATGCATACCAGAGATGACTCTAAAAGTCCTCCCAACATAGGCTGTAGACATGTGTGACGTGTACAACACTAATAGGGATGCAAATATGGAAATGACCAACAATATTGTTAAAAAAATATATATCAACATTGAGGTAGACATGATAATTTTGGGATGATTGGTTGTTTCTTTTAAAGGTTCAAGATATACCCAGTTTACTGTTTCATGGGGTCCAAACCAGCAAAGACACAAGAAAACTGACTATTTTGTTGTTTCCTCCCTATTCGATGAATCCCACGAGCTGTTTATTTTATGAGGTGGTATAACTTAATAAGTTCCTATGATAGGTGGGTCCATTACGCGCTTATTTATGAGCAACCTATACTACCTGCCAAAGGAGTTATGGGCCACAGACCACCAGAAGGAAATCAGCCACTTAAATTGTGTGTGTGCGCATGTGTGAGAGTCAGTGGCTGGTATAAAAAGGCCTCATATTTTATGGTTGCAAGATTTGGCAAGAAAATTAGCCAAAAATCTTCAGTTCTGGAAATTCGGAACAGTTTTATTCAAATAAAGCAATAAAAAATGAAACTCGGAGTGGGATGTGAAGAACAGAATTTTAAGCATTGGGCTGGTGCTCAATTAATCTTAATGATCATTTTCCAATTGCTGCAAAAATGAAGAACTGTATTATTTTTTGCATCATCGCGTGTCTTTATCCCCTTTGACTGCTGTGCGCATTTATATTTCAGAGATTAGACGGGCACCACACTGGCTCCACTGTTTTCTGTGAGCTGAAACATTAAACCAATCCATTAGTAAATGAGTTCTGGGCCACACTGGTTCTTGGTGGTGCAGTTGTTGGTTTGAGCCTCACGGATCACGTTTCTATATCTGCACCAAAAGTCTGAAGCAGAACCTCCCATTTTGCGTTTATCTCGCATAACTTTGCGCTTTAGGAAGGGATTTTTAATTAATACCACCAAAATAACATCATATATATAATAAAGCAGTTTTCAGATAAAATACAGTTGTTATGTATATAGAGAGTTATTGTGCTTGCCTTTTATTCTCTGACAAACTGTCGAAAATTAATTGAAAAATAAGTATGAGTGAAAGGCATTTGGTTAGTAAAGATCACAGGGCTCCTCGAATGATGGAGATTATAAGAATAATTATTTCTGTTGGCTCAATTTATATTTTCCAATGATGAAATACAAGAGGAAAAACAATTATATTCCTTCTACAATGATTCAGACATATAGGTTTCCTCGTTAAGGCTTAATGCATCCGTTTTCTCACGGTTTTGAAGCTTAACGCCAAAGGGAAAAAAAAATCAGAATTTCTTATACTGTGTGTAACACAATAAAATATTTTTTTCCCACTTAAAAATATCTAAATAAATTACCGAAAATAAATAAGAGCGAACAAAAACACAAATTTGGCCCTATTTATTTCCCTCAGGTTAGGGAATAGTTTTTCGTGCGTAAAATTCAAGCGTTAACTGCTTGTATTTGTGCTTGAGATGTTATAGGGAATGCGGGCTGTGAAGTGGGCTCAGCCTGGGTCTGAGGCTGTGTAAAACCTCGGTGCTTCAGTAAATGAGCTGTCTGATGAGCGCCTCTCGGGTTTCTCTAATATCTCTACCACATTGCGCCGCGCCTCCTCCTTTAACCCCCGCAGCCCGGGGGGCCAGATTATTTCAAGATGTGGACTCTCCGCCTCCTCCACTGCTGCGGCCAGCGCAAGTAAAGCAAGTAAAGCAATACTTAGGTAGTCGATCACTCGGAACTTCCCTCAGAAAGAGGCTTAAAGGCAGAAAGGATTCCGTTTATTTTCCTCTCTGGACACTTTATTAACTTTTAAAAACGAACACAGTGCGCTCTTTTGTGCGCTCTTTGCTGCTGAAATCTTAGATGTTCAGATTTTAGTGACTTAGAACATTTTTAACATGAAGAAAGAAAGAAAGAAAGAAAGAAAGAAAGAAAGAAAGAAAGAAAGAAAGAAAGAAAGAAAGAAAGAAAGAAAGAAAGAAAGAAAGAAAGAAAGAAAGAAAGAAAGAAAAAGGGGGGAAAAATCTGCTGTTCTCCATTTATTCTACAAAGCTTTACTCGAATTTAACCTGATCAGGAATTCAAGAAAGAGGAAGAATAACATATATAGAGTCATAATTTGCTCCAAACAAGGAAGTTTGCATGAAGAGGCAGGGAGAGCTAAAAAGAAAAAAAGGGCTAATAAAAATCTAGTTTGAAAAACTTCCATCATGGGAGAATAAGAAATAGTTAATCTTATTCATATATTTTCAATACATTTCCTTATTTGTCTCCCCATATATACTCCAATAGATTTTATACAAACAACTGAAGGATACGATTTAAATACCACGCATTTAATTCTTTAATTATTTTTGAATTGTTTAAGTTTTAGAGAAATCCCTTTAAGTAAATCATGAGAATAATTTAAAAAAGCGCAGCTCCTTCCATCAAAACAAAACACAACTGTTGACATGAGTGAGTTAAATGAAATTGGAGCTGCAATTATCAGCTTAACAGAGTTTCCTGTCATGTTGGAAAATTAGACGTGGTACAAGTGCGCTGGGGTTAGGCCTCCCCCCCCCCCCCCCCCCCCCCCCCCCCCTGCACCATCAAAATCATTACGCATTTCCTCAGAGGACCCACCTCCACAAATATGCAATTAAGAGGCGGCTTTCACAGTGCTCTGCCTCGGTAAACACACCCGGGTGTGCAGATGAGGACATTTGTTTTAAAGAGGCTCCGTTTTCTGGCTGCAGGGCTGATAAATAAACAAACGAGGCAGGCAGACAAACAAAAACAAACAAAGTGAAGGATTTAAACGCAGCTGCCATGTTGGTTCTGGCAAGGAGGGGGCGCTGTGCAGTCATATAGAGAAGATGGGTTGTTAGTGTTTTAAGTGTAGCAGCTGTGATCTTCTCTGGTCGTTTGGGCTCCTGCTCCTGTTACAGCCTGCTGCATGGTTTCTCTTTGGGAAACACCTCAGACTGCTCTGCTGCAGACCTAATGCTGCCTCACAGCTGCTGCTGCTGCTGCCTCCTTCTTCACACATGCACACTTAAAACTGTCCTCATGAGTTATGCTTTCTGTTCCTGCCATGCAGGACAAATACGTGAATCATTCTGGTTGCATGCCTTTGGCTGAGTGATGGGCGACAGCAGAGAGTTGCATGTTTCTGCTGCTGGAGTTATGAGAACTCACCAAACTGCTAGAGTTAAAATGAAATCTCTGAGTGGGTTTCCTGTTCAGTTAAGGAGCAAAAAGCCAATGTTTCTGCCAGGCCCGGTTTAGTTAAAAGTGGTGGGTCTGGTACCCACTGACCCCTTGCCCTCTCATTAGTGGGACGTAGAGTGGTGGAGTACCTTGCTCCCCAGGTCATGTTACATGTGCCTTGCAGTCTGCTGGGCCGCATTAAATGTCAACTTTGAAACCGTCTGAAAGATCAGGGGTCGTTGATTTTAATAAGGCCAAAGTTCTGGGATTGGTTCCCTAACTTTTACACCTAAAACAAACTATTTTTACTGCTTTTTTCTTTTCGATTGTTTAAAAATAACCCACTGGTTAATTAATTTGATTGTCATATAGTTTTTTCTGCTGGAGTACACTGGTTTTGTTTTTTCAGTTGATGTTCAAGTCCTCTTCATTTTGGTTCTCTGTGCACAAAAGGTTGAATTCTTTTTTCTTTGGCCTCCTCCCCGTGAGAGCCACAGACTTTGGGCTTTTGCTGCAAATGGGATATTGTTCTGGGCTCCAACAAAGCTGTGTTCATCCTCTTCAATATTACAGGAGGAGTTACCCGATACCCAACAATCAGCTAATCCACTGCCCATGGCGACGAGGTCACCTGTGCACAGGTAACTTTATCCCGCGTGCTTGCGTCTCCCTCCCTTTTCCCGCTATAGTTGCTTCCATTTCCCCCCTCCCTCCTTTTTGGAGCCTCAACAGTGAGTACAGACAAACAGCCTCTGTTTATTCAGGTCATTGGTTAGATCATATCCCATGGATACACCAAGAAGACACTCCTGTATATAAAATAATTCCCTGCACCACATCCTTTTCTCCAAACGGATCTCTATCTTATCTCTTCACCCAGGATGGATATATTTTTACAAAAGAAAGGTACAAATTTAGAGTAAATTCCCTAAGAAGAGTTGAGTGACCGGCAGCAGCTCACATCTTTTTCTCCACATGTTTAAGGTACCAGGGTGGTGGGGTTTACCCTTCATTTTAGGGAAAAAGCTTTTGGTTTGGACTGAGCTAACAAAAATTTCGGACCCCCCACCCAAAAGGAGCTTTACTTCTGGAAATCTCATTGCTGTTTATTTGAATTACAGAGGCTGAGATGAGAAAAGGAGACCTAATGAAGTCCAGGTTGCCAAGCATGTGCAAACGATCACTGCAGGTCGGCAAAAAGCTGCAGAAGGCCTGCTGGATTACTGCGTGTAGCCTCCCCCATGCCTCCCCTCTTCATCCTTCCAATCTGGCAGTTCTGGACTTTTGAATATAGGACAGGAAATGTGCTTTTTGTTGTGAACTCACATTCCTTTCAGCCTTAGTGTCACTAAAACCTCCATAATCCCATATTGTTATCAGTCATTGTAAAATCATACATGCTACAGGAATGAAACTGCCTCTTTTATGTTTTTATAAATATAAACTTTTATTCCAGTACATTGATTTAGAAAAATACATTCACATAATTTCACATAACAAACATATAACTCAAACTAAGATAAAAAAACAAACAAAAAACAAATGATGCACTTTTTGCTCATCATTTTTGGTTTTATTCCGTTAAAGCACTGAGGATACTTTCATTGAAAGGTCCGCTCAGAGGTCCTGAAGATGGGGAGCATCTCTGGCATGAAAGCATGTGATGAGTTGGATGTAAGGTCGAAATGTGCTCATATGTGACGATAAGAAACTCTGGACAAGTTTGGAAAAGTGTTAGTGTCTCTTGACAAACGGCCTCACTTTCAAATTCAGGCAGAGGCTGCAAACCTCTGAAGCTGCTTTCTGAACCCGGATGCTTCCACTTTGATTGGATCCCCACAGCAAATGTAAAAGGCACTCATATCAATGGACTAGTTTAATGCTGTGCATAGACAGATGATTACACACTCTGGGGTCACATAAAATCATTTTGTTTGAAAATTATTTCACTCTGGAGCTGTTTTAGTCTGGTCTTATGGAAAAACGGGTTTATCTAATGGGTTTCCACAAATTTTTTATAAAGAAATAAACATTTTTCGAGATTCATTTATACAGAGTTTTTCAGTCTTTTGTGTTTGTCAGTAATTCTAAAGCAAAAGGTCAGTATGTATTTTCTACCATGTAAGCTCTAATAATAGAAACTGGAAAAACCAGAAACAGGAAGAAAGGAACAAAGGATACAAGGAGAAAAGGAGATAAAGGGAGGACACACAGATGTAGAAAGGGACACAATAAAAGAAAGAAGAACAAAAGGAAAGAAAAATGAAGAACACAAAAGGAAGGAAGGAAGGAAGGAAGGAAGGAAGGAAGGAAGGAAGGAAGGAAGGAAGGAGATTAGGAAAATAAAGGTTTAAAGGACGAACGCAATGACTAAATGAATGGAAAAATTAATAACGTGAAACAAAATTGAAGACAGAAAAACATAAGGAAGGTATAGACAAAAAATACATAAAAAGAGAAATGTCAAAAAAGATTTTGACCTTTCAAAATCTTTTTTCAAAAGAGGAGATTTGTTTTCTTGAACCTTTAAAACAATGATTTAAGAAAAAACTGAGGAGCAATGGAAGAAAGGAAAAGAAGGAAAAAGAGGATACAAAAGAAGAATTCTACATTTAGGCAATACAATACATAAAAAAACAACCCTTCCTTTGTTTTTGTTTGCTTATCAAGACCAGAAAAAAATTACAAAATCTGATTCCAAATTTTTTCAGACTTCATAGGAACCCTGATTCTGCGAGCAGTTGGGTTATAAACAGCTCAGAATGAGAGAAGTCATCATTTATGTGTCCGTGTCATGAGTTGATGATGGGACTGGAAACAGGAGACAGGGCTGCAATAGTGGGCATTTCTTCTGGACGTGTCACACATGACAAACGTCCAGCTCAGGGGTTGTTTCAAACATTGTAATGTCATGGTGGTAGTGCAAATGCCAAAACAGAACCATTGGGTATTTTTAGCTGCAGAAAGGCACATTTAACTTTACTCTTCCAGTCAAGGTTTTAAATGTGTTATAAAGCATAAAAGCAGCATTTTGCATTGACTTGAGAAGCTTTCAAAGCAATTAAAGTGCTCCCTGAAGGAAAATTCTTCCTTAATCAGCAACTTTTCTGTGTTGGTTAACCGATTCCTTTTAGTCCTTCAGTAAAGCTGTTCAACTTAAAGCTTTCTCCCTCTTCCCCACTCCAGAGTGACCTTTTTGTTTCAACCCACATGACGCATTTGGTTTGGAGGAACATCCCGGTCACATGACCCGAGGAATTCCAGCACCTGCTTCTGCAGATCACATCCACTCAACAGGAAGTAGCAGGTGCTGTCTATAAAAAATGCTCTTTTAAACGGAGCCTAAACTCATGCAGGGACTCCTTCCTATCGGCCAGAACAGTCTCAGTGTTTCTTCTCACAAACGGGGGCTTTTTTAGACACACCACAGGCTCTTTTATTTTTACATTTTCATAATAATCTGAAGCAGTCAATCTACATGGCTCCTTTCTCACTAGAGTGCATTTAAAATTCAAATAAAAACAAATAATTTAAAGGAAATCAATGCTTAAAAACTCACACACACACAAATACACACACACACACTGAATAGTAAAAATATTCATTGTATGACTGCTCAGGTGGATGTGAGTGCTTCAGAGTTTGAGGTTAAAGGTCGGACATGTCCTCGTCCATCTGCACAGTCTGTAGTTTGGCTAGCTCCTTCCCCTCTGCAGCCTCCAGCTCCCCGCACATCGCCCGTACCATCTCGTTCATCCCCCCAGGCCCCGAAATGTCCGACTTGCTCTCTGAAATGTTCATGTAGTCACTGTTCATCCCGGGGCCCAGTAGGTGTGAGGATGGGGCCCCTCGGTGCACCTCATGTGTGCCGAGGAACTCAGCCGGCTGCAGGTGAGGATGGGCGTCTGGGTCCGTCTGAGCCATCAGAGGTGTGCTGTTGGTGAGGGTGGTGTAGACCTCTGGCTCAGAACTGGATGAGCTGATGGGGGTGACGTCAGTGGTGGAAGTGGTGCCATGACTGGAGGAGATGTGCCCAGAGTCGCTGCCGGTGTAGCTGATCTGACCGCTGGGGTCCAGGTGGAGCCCGCCGTGGTACGAGGAGTAAATGCCTCCATCCAGAGGTTCCTTCTTTATTGGAGTCTGGTTGCTCATGCTGTAGAGAACGGTGTTGTGGTGCAAAGATGTCATAGTCAGCTTGTCCTGTGGCTGGAAAGAGTCTTGACTGGATGAGCTTACCACTGCATTGTTCAGAGACATGCTACCTGAAAAAAACAAACAAACAAAGAAACGAAACAGTGAACACAAAATCAGATATCTAAAAAACTAAACCATCATTTGTTCCCATCTGACATGCATCTTTGAAATGTTTCCTGTTTTAAGGAGTAAGGATAACAAAAATAATGGATATTTGCTAAACACCAGAATAAATGCAAAGAGAATAAAACTCTCTTTTAGCATCCTAATGTCAAAGTAGCAGCACATTGCAATCCAAGCCTATATGTACATTCATTGAAAACCTCTCTAATACCAGAACTAATGTTAGCTGCAACTGTCCTGGTACAGCTGCAAGGTCAACATATGCAAGTCCATGGTACTGATCAAGTTAGAGTGTCCATTTATTAATGTAGACATTTGTAGCTGATGCTGTTTAAAACACTACCCCCCCCCCCTCCATCCATAAGGTTAATCTATCAGAAGCTTTCAATGTAACATCATCTGGGCTTTCCCAAATTGTATAAAGAGACGCTGATCTCACTGATTCTGAATCTAAAGAAAAAAGACAAACCTCATTCTGGAATTTGGAAAACTGAAAAAACTTTAGTAATCCTAGCTATATTTCAGACAATAAGGGGGGGAAAAAAATCGCTTATGTCAGTGTGCGTAGATATTTACTTTAAACTTCTTTCAGTGCAGCTAAACCAGATCATTTTCCTTCTTTTTCTTGTTTAACTCTCAGTGGATTTCATATTGCATACCTGCTTTGTTATATTGCGTTTAAGCAAACAGATTAACTTTGTTAATATGTAACAAAATTAATATACAAGATAAAATTGTTAAAACATGCAATAACCAATACAGTTCATACAAAAACAGCAGGAAAACACAAGAAAACAAGGATGTTTCTCTGTTGCTTTGACATCTGCTTAAAATCCTTAATATGAAAGAAGCTGCCCTGCTTGAAGTCAACGAGGAATTAACATTTTTGTATTTTTCCAACACATGTAAATGATGAAAACATGAATGCATTACATTTCCTGAAGCAGAAGCTGTGTTATTTGTTTTAAATTTAAAGGGTTTGGTGCAGTAATAATATGGTTACTGATTTGTTGATGAAAATCTACTGGTGTCACAATCTGCACAGACCTTCTTCTCAGAGTCACTGTTGCACATCCCAAACACTTGCTGCATTTTCTGCCCGACCCAATGGTGACCCAGAGAACAAATGCTCTACTCTGCCCGTCTCAAATGTAAGCTGTAATTCTCTTGTTTTTTTGGGTAGGAGGGGTTCTGCTCTCGGTTCTCTGCTTTATGTCACATTAAGTGCTGTAATTTCTTTTCCCCCTGTTTCAGTGTTTCAGTCCAAATGAGTCACACCTCCATTGCTTTCTCTGGAGATCAACACTATTAATGATGATGAGTGATGTGTTTTTATTCATCTGAACAGATCATCGCTTCTAGAAATATGAATGTCCGTGTGTTTCTCTTTCATCTGTGCATCATGTTTTGCTGCAGCCTGACTAATGAGGTGGCTTTGATATATTGGGTGGCAACAGCTGAGATGGCTGACAGAGGTTTTCAGGAGGATATAAAGCAACACTGACCTATTATAAATTTGTTCTCAGGTTTTAACTCCAGTTAAATCTTTTTATGTGCAGACTAAAACTTTCAGGGCCAGTATTATTCATGATTCGGGTAAGATTATAAGTAATTAACTAGATATGACTGTTATAAGTAAGAGTCGTTGCTTTAATGGTTGTTGAAGAGATTAAGACTAATATTTACTGCTTTTCTCTAACAGATAAAAAAGAAAACTAGTTTTAATATTTTAAAAATGACAGCATAAACATATTGATAAATATCTATATTTAAAGGTAAAATCATTTTTATAAAATAATTAATACAATTTAATAGCATTACAACACCCTTATAAATTCTGCATATTTTTTACAATTAAAAACAACTATAAAATGACCTCTTTAAATTGATCACTTGCTAAGAGCTCACCTTGCTGAGTAATTGTGGAGGAAGATGAAGCAGACGGCAGCTGTAGGGGAGGAAGACCTACATCGCTGTTAAGCAAGGAGCTGCCATCGCTGTCAGGGACTCCACTCGGTACCTGGACCAGGCTGTAGCCACCGAGCTGCAGAGACCCTGACGGTGAGCTGAATGTGAGGACTGAGGAGCCTCCATTCTGGGCCGCCATGGTATGAACCCCCTCCAGCTTCACCTCCGACCCATTAACACAGCCCGTGTAGGAGGAGTAGTGCAGGGCGGACTCCTCGGCACCGATCACTCCTTTTTCCTGGCCTGTCTGCATGTGCATGTCCCCCGCAGAGCCCCCCAGAAGCACGCCGCTGGGCGGCCTCAGAGGGTTGAAAGCCAGAGGCTGGATGCCCAGATTGAGGCCGTTGAAGAGAATGTTTCCAGGTGAATGTAGATACGATGAGCCACCATTATGAAACACGGCAGGGGAAGTATTATTGGCTGCTAGACTGCCATTGTAGACCCCACCACCACCGGATCCTGTGGACATCTTGATGTCACCAATCTGCTGGATGACCACTCCACCGTCCAGAGCTCCTGTCTGAGCTGGGAGGCTCCCGTGGTTTATCACTCCATCCGAAGAGTTGGAAAGAGGACGAGGGGACAGCTCCTCCTGTCCCTTACTGGACTCATCCTCTGTACTGTGGTTTCCATCAGACTCACTGCAGAGTAAGAGCAAATAAAAAAGATGGGTTGCAAAACAAATAACAAGATAAGCTCAGTTCATGTCTGAATAGAGCATTTTTTATTTATATTAGAAAGATTTTTCTCTTCTGGGAAACAATAAGGAAAGACTCCATCTTATTGCAGAGCTGAATAGCAGTCTGTTTGTGGACGTGGGGCCCTCTCTACCTCATAGAGAGCTGCTCTGACAGCAGCACCAACCTTGTAACCATTTGGTGCAATAAATTCTGTCGACAAAAGGCAACAACAAACGGCTTCCATGGCTTCGAAGTAAAACTAAAATCCACATGTCCAGTTTTAAACACATATATTCAACGAAACTAAAACGAATTCAAAAGCTCTGTTTTCTCTTTTTATCACTTAAAAAAAGCCTTATTAAAACAGCTGCTTCTCCACCCCCCACCCCCCCTTCCCATCCCGCGAACACGCACAACCAACCGCCATAAAAAAATGAAAATAAAAAATAAAAAAAAACATGTGGGCCCCTCCGAGGAAATCCACAGGTTCTAGACATTTTTACATTACTAATTTTGCCCCTTTGTGAAAGTGGGGGCGGGGGCTGGATAGACGGGGTCACCTTCACCAGGTGTGCGTCATCTTTGTTCACACAATGCAAGAAAAAAAAAAAAAAAAAACATGAAAGACCAACCCTCACATCTCAGTGCGTGTGTGTGTGTCTGTGGGATTATGAGATGAAGCGCAGCTGATGGAAGCTCTGAGATCCTTTTAGTCCAGGAAAAAAAGAAAGGGTTAACATGAAAATGATTTATGTTCTGATCTCTGTGCGTTCAGGCACAGGCTCATCCAGAGTTGCCTTTTGAACTCTTTCATCAAAGTTACCTTCTCCTCCTGCCTGCCTGCCTGCCTGCCTGTCAGCCGGATCTCTGAGGCTTGAAGATATTTGGTTGCCTCTGGTTTCCATGACTCTCCGCTTCGCTTGAAACCGGATACGAACGGCAACAGCTTCATATTTCAAAACATTAAAAGCGTGCTGCTTAAGCTTTTTTCTGTTCTTTAACCATAACTAGTAAATAATTCACTCGTTCACTACAAACCCTGTCTGTACTAAAGGGTTCAGTTTTGTTATTGTTGCGCTTTTACGCACCAGTTATCTGTGCGGGGCGTAAAATGTGCTTCCAGAATACACAATAAAGGTATGTTGAGTTATTGCTCAACATTTTTAAACTTGATTTTATATGATGCGCCTTTTACGCAGAGATCATTTCCACCAGTAAAAGGTCTGATGAAGAGAGACAAATGTAAATGCTCTTCTCCTTTGTTCCCTTACCTTTTTGACTGCGCCTCAGACGGGTTTCTGTCTCTCTGTCGCCTGTTTTTGAACCAGTTGCTGACCTGGGTCAAGGAGAGTCCGGTTATCTTGGCCAGATTCCGTTTCTCGGCTGGAGACGGGTACCTGTTCTGGTTGTAGAGATCCTTCAGAGCGTTCCGCGACCTCTCCTTGAAACAATAAACCGTTTCCTCACCGTCCCAGATAGTCCTAGGGAGAGGATACTTTCTCCGGATCCGGTACTTATCCACGGCGCCCAGGGGTCTCCCCCGCGCCTTCTCTGCCTCCGTGTACCGGGCCTTGTACCAAAGTTCCTGCAGAAAGGTGTGGTTGGACGGACTGAAACTATGATTCTCCAAAATACTGTAGAGCTCCTGGTAACGAGCTTGATGGAAGGCAACTAGGGCTTGGGCTTTTAAGATGCTTTCGTTGCCGCGGAGCAGGTCGCTCTGGGGTAAGGACCACAGGAACCTCGCCAACCGGTCCACGTTGCCCCCCTGCTGCAGCGCCTCGCATACGCACGCCACTTGCTCCGGGGAGAAAGCCAGGGAGGAAGCGGCGCTCACCAGCAGCTCCGTGCGCACCGCGTCGGCGTTGGGAGCCGTGCGCTCCATGGACAACTCCACCGCGTCCAGCGCCACCAGCTTGATGCTCTCCCGCGTATCCACCTCCTTCACATTTTCCCTCTTGATGTCATTCACCGCCGTGACCTCTCCAGAAGAAGAAGAAGACATTTTTTTTTTTTTTTTTTTGTTCGAGCCTTCCCTGGTAGAGTCACTCCTCCCCGTTCGATCAGGTTACCTCCTCGCCATGCGAACCCGATCGGATATCTGACAGCAGCTGTAAGCAGATATCTCTCTCCCCTCTTCCTTCCAACGTGACTTTTACTCTGAGGGGACTGGGGCTTGAGGGAGATACGCTGGGGTCTATCTGAAGGAGAGCCACGCCATTGGCCGCTAAGGGCCCCACGAGGGAGGAGCAAGCGCGATTCATGCGCGAATGTTTGGCTTTCAGCTGTCAGTCAATGAGCTTCCAGCAGGGCTTTATTCCCGGTGTTCACCTGTGCAAGGTGAGTGCTTTTGGGATCGTGGGAACGGGAAGTTCTTGTGGCCTCTGTTCTCAGTGGCTGTATTGCATGAAGGTATGCACAAAAGTGTTTTATACCCACATCAAGGCAGAGAAATCCAAGGGGAAATATGGGAGTGCTCTCATTAAATTTCTCTAAAGAAAATACAAACAAAACATCACAAAAAATAAAAAAAGACTGATTTCAATCTTATTCTTCATTTGCACATTGTTATTGTAAGTACTTTTTATGTTGCTGGCCTCAGAAGAGAACAAATCAAAATGTGGAAAAACAAAACAAATTCTAAACGAGCGCATGAGATCTCTAAAGAATTTTAAAATAAGTTTCTGCAAAACCACCATCTTCACCTTTTTTGTTGTTCAAATTGCCAATTTAACCAAAGTGACAAACAAACTGCTTTCAGGAGTGATATTTTATAACCAGGCTATACAAAAATACCCCAAATATTCCCAAAAGAGCTCTACATTTAAACATATGAGCTATATACGTATATTCCGTCTATAAATTCAACATACTGCAACATATGATAAAATAGGTTTTGTATTGAACTGTAGTAAAATCATTTATGAACTATAAATAAACTGTATTAAGGAAAATTCATTACTAAGCTCTAACAAAACAATCTTAGAAAAAATCCATCCAAAACAATTAATAATTATTCCTTTACAATTTCTGTTTGCAATTTTATGATTTTTATAATCCAACATTGACCTTACATCGAAATAATCATTGTTCTAATGGAGTTAATAATTAAAGATTAAATTAGTTAAGTGAAAACATCCTGCTGGAAATAGCACTTTGATATGGTTTCTTTAAAATATAAATATAAAATGCATGGATGAATGGATGGATGGATGGATGGATGGATGGATGGATGGATAGATAGATAGATAGATAGATAGATAGATAGATAGATAGATAGATAGATAGATTTCCTTTTTTTGGCAAGGCATGTTGTGATTTATAAAAGGAGGTGGAATAAATATATGTACAGTTCTTTCTAATCCAAAAACGTATTAGTTAATTTGAACACAATCAATTTATTATACTTACCGTATTTAAATGCTTAGAGTGTCTCTAAAGATTACAACCCCAGTTAGAATGATGATTTGTTAACCAGTATTTTATGTAAATATTATGTCTTTGGTACCATCAAACTAGAAATCAGAGAAACAAAGTGTCTTAAAAATTATTGAAATAAATTAAGATGAAATAAGGTGAGGGTTTGAGCCTTTATCAAAGTATTTTTTAATTCATTTTTAGCATTCAGTTGTCTTTGGTTCACACTGCCATTAATCATAGGAAATCTTTGTATCATTTTTAAAGTCATTTTTAAGCTAAAGCTTTGTTATTCTTGGAGGGCTTAAATAATCAAGCATGTCAGATTCTTTAAGCCAGGAAAAGAGTACAGAAAGGAAATTTTATATTTATAGTAAAGATAATGTGGTGATCAACTATTTCAAAAGTGTATGAAATTCTGGAGCTTTATTTGAAATTAATAAAAATAAAAACAGAAACTGGATACTTAGGCATTGCGGAGGTTGACAGAAACATTTCTAGCAAGTTCTGGTGGTCTATGTGAAACAACACCCTTCTGTACTCACTGTATATTTAGACTAGGATCTCCAAAGCAGGTCTCTTTTTTTTTTTTGTCTTGCAGAGAAAATATTCAAAAGTAGGTGAAATATCAGACCTGGTGCAGGAAATAGTTTTGGTCTGATGAAACAAAGCGGAAACATGTGTATAACTCACAGTGAAACATGTTAGTGGCATCATGCTGTGGGTTGACGTTTATCCAAAATTGAATCAAGGTTACTGTCAAGGTAAAAAGCATTATTTTTCAGCATCACAGTCAGCCCAAATACTTACATTTAAATAAAAAAAAGAGGTAGTTCAATGTCCAGATGAACATTTTTCAGAAAATCTGTGAGTTTACATAAAGGTTACTGTGAACAAGAGGTGCACTCAGATTGTGAAAAGTTTAGAAAGTTTTTGCAAGGTGTTTTAGGGACAATTCTCTTCCTGTTTAAACCATCACCACCCTGTTCCACTTTAATGGACGATTGATTATTGTTTATTTGCTGAGATGTATTTGTAAACAAATTAAATAAAAAAAAAACAATGAACATTTAAACTAATTGCATCAGAAGTTAACTATGATAACACAAAAATTTAAAAATAATATTTTAGTTTTGCAGCTTTTCTAAGATTTATGTTGTAAACTGTAAATTCAAAATCTCAAGAAATACATTTTAAGCACCTAAAAATGCTAGATTATGTATGCTGAATCTGTCATGTCAAAAATGACAGTATTATCATTCTTAATCAATGCATAAAAAAACTAAAAAATATATTGTCCATGTCAGAATTAAAAAATAGATTTTCCTTGATGGTTTTTGGGGCCCTTAGTTCGCTTCAGGATTGGCCCCCCCTCTTGTAGAGTTGGTATATGCTATATGAAGACAAGGGATGCTCATTGAGTGCTATCAAAGAAGATTGAATTTATAAATGAAGCTGTTGTTTGTATGTACACCAGAATGTACATCGAGATATTTCACTTTTTTTTCTTCTGCGGAATAGGAACCATTGTTATTGAGCAGTTTTCCACCGGAGCGCTTTTGGTGTGACGCCTTAGTTCTCCTCGGCGCTCTTATCTTACAGATGATTACTTTTTTCTGAAGCCTGTCTCAAACAGAAGGGAAAAATGGACGACCAAGGTTGTCCGAGATGCAAAACCACCAAGTACCGCAACCCGTCCCTGAAGCTGATGGTGAACGTCTGCGGCCACACGCTGTGAGTCCTGATAACCGGGATTATTTCTCTAAAACAAAGCTGAGTTTATGGAATAATCCACAGGGAAACTGAGAGACAGCACTTAGATGTCAGCAAAGGAGCATCTAACCTGGGTTTAGCGTTTAATTGAATTCAATTGCTTGCGTTTGTTTTTGTTTTATTCCAAAAAAGAGTGATAGTTTATTTTCTTCTCCTTTCAGACCATGTTTAATTAAACTAAACCTGTAAAAATGAACTCCTGATCAGATTACTGCATCTTTAATGCACCCATCCTATCGCTGACACATTCTAATTAAGCTATTTAGACTAATATTTACAGTGTATAGAATAAAAATATGATATATTGTTAACATAACAGATTAACTCTCTATTTTGTTATTGTGCATGCCTACAGTGACGCAGTTGGTAAAACTGTTTTGCAGCATGAAGGTTCTCGGTTCAAATCCCAGCCAAGCGTTTCTTCCTCCTACAGTTTTAAACATGCCTGCTGGGTCAGCTGGATATGTTGTTTTTACCTGTGTGACTCTATGGGGATCTGTCCATAATGCAACCCAACTCTCCCCCTACAGTTTCATAGAAGCACTGATGCTTATTTAATATCAGTAAGACAGAATGTAAGCATAAAACAACTTTTTCAGCAGCCCAAGGAAAACAGAATAATCTGAAAGTTTTATAAAGAAAAGCTCAAAAGGAGGATATTAAATAAGATTTAGAGATATTGATTGTTCAGATTTATACAGATTAGGATTCTATATCTGAAATCTGATGGGATTAATTCTATGTTTCCCTGTATAGACCATACTAGTCGACTTGAAAAGTACCTTGAGAGGATTTTAGCAGCGAATCGGTGCTGCATAGGTAGTTAAATTACTTTGATGTTATTGTTTAATAACTTAATGAGAAACAAACATTTTGTACCTTTTTTTCATTATCTAAGTGTGTATATCATTTTCCAGATTCTTAAGTGTGTTTGGAAATTAAAATTTTCCTGGATTTTTAAAAGAACAATTGGCAAAGTCTCTCATTGGTTGCATTCATTATTAATATGAGAAGTTATGCACCTGAAATATAACATCTAAGGAGTCTGTTGCATTGTTATAATCCCTTTAATTTTATGATGATATTGGCATTCTCTCTGTTTTAAAACAGAGAGAATGCTTGGTTTTGGTTGGTTTTAGCAACCAAAACCAAGTACAGTTCATTGTAATTTCAAAACCAGAAAAAAAAAAAACACAAAACAAAGCTGTTTCATGAATCTAAAGAGTGGGAATTGTCTTTAACATTGATATTTTATAACTAACAAATATGTGAAGCAGAAAAAAAAATGTTTTTTTACCAAATCTTCTATTCTTTTTGAGAAAATTCAACAGTTTTAATTGGATCCTAATACCAAGTATGATAAATGGATTAAAATCTGGGACGCTAAAAGACCAGATCAAGCTTTTGCATCCATCCTAAACTTATATGTACAATTGGAAAGAAGAGTCTTGCATTAATTATAAAACAAAAACAACTTATATGTCCAGCCTTTTAACAAGAGAGCAACAAACACTCTATTTAGATAATGTCATCGTAGTCCACGGAGAGAAAATAGGAATGTCCTTATTTAAAATTACAATGCTTATGCAGTGCAAAAATACTATTGGCAATCAAGCAGCCCCACAGCATGATACTGCCACCACCATGCGTGACAGTTTGTAGTGTTCTTAGATTTCAAAGCTTCTTTGGCTCCTTCAAATTAGGGCTGAAACAATAGTGGTTGATTAATAAAATGATTGTCAGCTTTAGTAATCTATTAATCATTAGCTGGAGATATACAGACTAATATATGCCATTAGATAAAACAGCATCCCAATCAGAGCAGTGAATATGCCAAAATAGTAAAAAAAATATATAGATTTTGCATTTATGATGAAAAACCTTTTGTTTGTCCGTGATTATCCAGAATTCATCAACTGGAACAGTTTTAACTTTACCTGGTCTAAATTCTGTATAAAAGTTTCTTTCAGGCACCTTTTGCTATCTTAC